AAAAAAAAAAAAAGCCTGTAAGCAGCCATCTAAGATACTCCACTGGTCTCACCCCTTCGGGAGCAAGGGAGAATGAAGAGAACAAGATACAAGGAAAAGATTAGTCCAAAGGACTAACGGACCACAGCTACCACGGCCTCTACCAGACTGAGTCCAGTACAGCTAGATAGTGGCCGGCTACCACCACTGACTGCTCGCACCAGGATCACAATACAGGGTCCTGGACAGAGCTGGAAAAGGATGTAGAACAAAATTCTAACTCACAAAAAAAAAAGACCAGATTTACTGACCTGACAGACTGGAGAAACCCCGAGAGTATGGCCCCCAGGCACCCTTTTAGCTCAGTGGTGAAGTCACTCCTGAAGTTCACCGTTCAGCCGGGGATTGGACAGCCTCATAAAACAAAACAGGACTCATGAGGCACAGCAGTCCAAGGACAAGGACTAGAAGGCAGGAGGGGACAGGAAAGCTGGAGATAGGGAACCCAAGGTTGAGAAGGGACAGTGTTGACATGTCATGGGGTTGTTAAACCACTGTCATAGGGCAATATGTATACTAACTGTTTAAGGAGAAACTATTTGTTCTGCAAACCTTCATCTAAGGTACAAAAAAAAAAGAATTATCTATGTGAGATCAAACTGACAACGGCAACTCAAAAGGTTTGATGGGAAGCCTGGGGGCAGTGAGTTGAAGATAACAGTGATGGAGTAATTTGGAAAAGGATAGTGAGAATAGCAGCACAATTGGAAGAATGCAATCGATGTCACTGAATTGTACATGTAGAAATGTTTGAAATAGTGTAACTTTGGTTATGTATATTCTCACCAAAAAAAAGGTCCTCCAAGGTCGAGAAAGGAGAGTGTTGACATGTCATGGGGTTGTTAACCAATGTCATAAAACAATATGTGTAATGACTATTTAATGAGAAACTATTTGTTCTGTAAACCTTCATCTAAAGTACAATAAAAAATAAATAAATAAATTATAGCCCTGGAAACCCTATAGGGCAGTTCCACTCTGTCCTATAGGGTTGCTATGAGTTGGAATCAATTTGATGACAGTGAGTTTGGTTTGATTCAGACAACTCAACAACAAAAAGACAAACAACACAATTGAAAAATAAGCAAAGGACTTGAATAGACATTTCACCAAAGAAATACAAGTGGCCGATAAACACATGAAAAGATGTTCAACACCATTAGTCGTTAGCGAAATGCAAATCAAAACCATAATGAGATACTACTTCACACCCACTAAGATGGCTATTACCAGAAAAATGGAAACAAACAAGTGTTGGTGAGGATGTAGAGAAACTGGAACCCTTGCCCCACTGGTGGTGGGAATGTAAAATTGTGAGGCCACTGTGGAAAACAGTTTGGTGTGTTCCTCAAAAAGCTAAACATAACGATTTTCATATGACCCAGCAACTCCACTCCTAGGTATACGCACAAGAATTGAAAGCAGAGACACAAACAGATACTTGTACACCAATGTTCATTGCAGTACTATTCACAACAGCCAAAAGGTGGAAACAAACTCAATGTCCATCAAGATAAATGGATAAACAAAATGTGTTGAATCCAAACAATGGAATATTATTTAGAGTCATGAAGAAAAAGAAGTCCTCACACAATACAACATGAATGAACCATGAAAACATTATGCTACGTGAAATAGTCAGACACGAAAGGACAAATATTGTATGATCCCACTTACATGAAATATCTATAATAAGCCAAAGTTTTTTAGTGGTTACCAGGGATGAGTGGGAGGAGGAAATGGGGAGGGAGTTATTGCTTAAGGGGTACTGAGTTTCTGTTGCTGTTGTTAGGTGCCATCAAGTCAATTTCAACTCATAGAGACCCCATGTGAAAGAGCAGAATTGTCTCATAGGATTTTCTAGGCTGAAATCTTTACAGGAGCAGATCATCAGGTCTTTCTCCTGCAGTGCCACTAAGTTCAAACTCCCAACCTTTTGGTTAGTAACTGAGTGCTTAACTGTTGCACCACCAGAGCTCCTGAGTTTCTGTTAATGGTAATAAAAAATTTTGGAAATGGATAGAGGTGATGGCTGCACAACATGATGGATGTAATTACTGTCACTGTATTGTACGCATACAAACAGGTGAAGTGGCAAATGTTTTGTTATATATATTTTACCATAATAAAATTTAAAAAAAAAAGTCAACCAATGGAGACTAACCCCAAGATAATGTAGATGTTAGGCTTGGTAGATAAAGATTTTAAAGCAGCTATTGAAACTATGATCATAATGAATAAACAGGAAATCTTACCAGAGAAGTAGAATATAAAAAGAAAGGACCAAAAGGAAATTCTAGAACTAAAAAACCATTAGAAATGAAAAATTTTACTAGATGAGTTTAACAGCAGATTGGAGTTGAGAGAAGAAAAGAGTCAGAAAACTTGAAGAGAGATCAAAAGAAATTATTCAGTTTGAAAAACGAGGAAAAGACTCAAAAAAAGAAAGAAAGAAAAGGGAAGCAAACAGTCTCAGTTATCTTTTGGACAAAATCAAAAGGTCTAACATAAGTATAACTTGAATACTAAAAGTAGAAGACACAGAAAATCGAATAGGAAAAAAATATTTAAGGAAACAATGGCTGAAATTTGATGAAAGGCATCAATTTTCATATTCAAGCTCTATGAACCCCAAGCAAGCGACATACTATAACAAATCTAAACATATGATAGTCAAAATAATGAAAACTCTTGAAAGCAGCAAAAAGTAAACAACACATTACAAACAGGTGAACTATGATATGAATGACCACTTATTTCTCATCAGAAACAAGAGGATAGACGAATATGAACATCTTAAAAGTACTGAAAGAAAAATACCACATTCAGTAAAAACATCCTTCAAGAATGAAAGTGAAAGGAAAGTTCAGATAAACACTCAATAGAATCTGTCACCAGGAGAGCTACACTACAAGAAAAGCTAAAGAAAGTACTTCAGGCTGAAGGGAATCTTCGGGAAGGAATGAAGAACACTATAAATGGTAAATATGTGTATAAATAAGACTACCTTTTTTCCCTTGTCTTATTTTCTTTAAAATGATTGTTTAGAGCAGAAATTATAATACTATACTGTGGGATTTACAGCATATGTAGATATGATTCATGTGACAACTAGAGTATAAAGGATGGGGAACAAATGAAACTATACAACACTTTACACAGAGTGGTTCAAAATTAAGTAAACTGAAAAATTAAGGATATATATCATAATCACTAGAGTAAACTGTAAAAAATGATAATAAGTGTAGCTAAAATCTAATAAATAAATTAAAATGGAATTCTAAAAAGATATTCAGTTAACCTAAAAAACATGAAAGGTGGAAAAGAGAAACAAAACAGTAAAGATAAACAGAAAACAAATAGGAAATAGCAGACTTTAAACCAACTGTATCAACAATTATATTTAATGTAATTAGAATAAACATCACAGCTAAAAGCAAGATCCAACTATATATTGTCTATAAAACACACACACTTTAAAGACACAGGTTGAAAAAGAAAAAGATATATCATGTAAACAGTAAGCAAAAGAAAATTGAAATACCTATATTAGTATCACATAAAGTAGACATCAAGTCAAAGAGTATTATCAAAGACAGACTTATATAAAAGGGGAAATTCATCAAGAAGACATGACAATTATAATGTATATGCATCTAATAACAGAATTTCAAAAAACATTAAGAAAAAGTGACAGAATTAAAGGAAGAAATAGAAAAATCCACAAACATGGTTACCACAATCTTTGTACCTGACAGAAGTAGACAAAAACAAATCAACGAAGATATAGATCAGAAAAACATTATCAACTACTTCGATTTAATTAACAGATATGTAATGTTATACCAACGAACCAGCGATGGCAGAAAATGTATTCTTTGCAAGTGCATATGGAACATTCACCAAGACAGATCGTATGTTGGGCCATAAAATAAGTCTCAACAAATATAAAAAGACTGAAATCCTACAGAGTATGTTTTCTGACCACAGTGGAATTACATTAAAAATCAGTAACATAAAAGCATCTATAAAAAAGCCCAACTATTTGGAAGTGAAAACAACACACTTCTAAGTAACCCATGGTCAACAAAGAAATCACAAGGTATTTTGAATTGAATGAAAATGAAAAATACCATATATCAAAATTTGTAGAATACAACTAAAGCAGTATTTAGAGGGAAATTTATGACTTTAAATGCTCATATTAGAAAAGAAGATCTAACCTAAGGTTCCACCTTAAGAAGCTAGGAAAAGTAAGTTGAAGGAAGAAAATAATTTGGATAAGAATAGAAATAAATGAAATCTTAAAAACACGATAGAGAAAATTAACAAAGTAAAAAGTTGATTCTTTGAAACAATCAACAAAACTTATTAAATCCTTAGCCATCCCGAACAAGAGAGGGAACACAAATTATCAATATCAGAAACAAAAGGGTTTTAGTACTTATCAATATCAAATAAGGAAATACTATTAATAAAAGATTAAAAACATTATTAGAAAAGTTAAGTCAATTTTTTGTCTGTTTATTTATAATCAAAGCAGAAGCAAAAGTATATATGAGAAGAGGATTGTTAACTCTAAATACGAACCTGTAACAGTCGAAATATCCTGTAACTCCGCAAGGGTAGAGGCTGGTTCCGTTTTCATAGCGTTTTCTCCCATTGATTTGCAGTTCAACTCCAAACCTGTAGCCCCTAGTCCATCCCCAAGGGAGTGGCAAGTTAGTGCAGATGAGACCTGTCCAGCTTTCAAAGGAGATTTCAAATGACCTACAAGAAAAAAGAACGTTTGGGGAACATTTACATGTATACAGAGCCCTGATGATACAGTGGTTAAAGCGTTCTACTGGTAACCAAAAGGTTGGCGGTTGGAAATCACTAGTGGCTCCGTGGGAGAAAGATGTGGCAGTCTGCTTCCGTAAAGATTTACAGCCTTGGAAACCCTATAGGGCTGCTATGAATTGGAATCAACTCGACGGCAATGGGTTTGGTTTGGATATATGCATATAATCTGGGAGCCAAGAATTGCACAACAGACTAAGAAAGCCGGGGGCTTTTTAGGGGAAGTCATTCATTTCACAATATACATTAACAGGTTCCAGCACATAAAGCCAGGGTTGTGAGCAAAGGAAAAGGCTAATAAGAGGCTAAATGAAGGGAGGAATCTGCTGGAAGTATTTGCAAAAAGGCAGAGGCATAGAATGAGATGGCACCAGAAGGACAGACAGAGGCAGGATTCTTCAAGCACTGTGCCTCCAACCCAACATTCAGAGGTATATAAACAAAACCAATCACAAATGTGCACAGAAAGTTTGTCTATTAAATCAGTTGAAGGACAACATATTACAAAAACACTGCTGCCATTCAATAACTCCATTTCAAGATCATCTCATACTTGTGGAAGGCAGTACACAATGGTTTAGATTGGTTCTCACTAGATAGCACCAAGTTGGTAAGACAATTCTAGAACAGACACTGACTCACCTTCTTCAGATTCCTTGGCACTAGACGATGTGTCTTGCAAAGGATCCGCATCAACTGCATTAACCAAATCTGATACAACCAAGTCAGGATCTAGGATCTCATGGGTCCCATTAGTGGACAGCCTGGAGGATCGTCTCCTTGATAAGTCTTTGTCAGTGTTTTCCGAGTAGTTTTTTGACTTTTCTTGGGCTATAAACCATTAAGAGAGTTGTAGTCAAGAGACCAACAAGAAGAAATAACTCTGCTACTACAGACTTCTGGGCTGGTAGTCTCTCTAAGGGCTTTACAGAGAAACTTCTAAAATGTTAGACCACTACGAAAGTAAGTATCTCTTCCTAGTTTATAGTTTTAAGTAACAGCACAGTCACTCTTCCAGGATAGAATTTTATTTATTTAAGAATTCACAGTTTAAAAATACGTGCCAAGGTCATGTCCCAATCTTGGCAACTAAGTTCTATTTTGGAGCTTCCCAACATAAAATCCATGTACTAACTTCCAAAGTCAGTAAGGTTTAAAAGAGCCTTACTTAGAACCATCATAAATCCTTTTTGGAGCCAAAAGGGTATTAAAATAAAAAATCAGTAAGTGGTATTTTTAAAGTTTCACTAAGCATATGAAATCCACCTCCTTCTAAGCCATTAAATTTCCAGTGGAATCCAACTCAAATGTACAGCTTATGGGTATGGAAATGACACCACTGAACCCGACATGAATACAGTCTGTGCTTTGGGATTTTTCTTATAGCAAAAACTCTTTCTCATCCAGCCACATCCCACTCATATTGGCTCCTATAATCAGGGACAAGCATTAGAGCCTAAAGGGAATAAGAGACAGCATGGATACAAGGGAGGCTGACTGGCACAAGTGGTGTGGGTTTGATTACTAACCTAAAAGTTGGCAGTTCAAACCCATCCAGTGGCACTGCAGAAGAAAAGACCTGGAGATATGCTTTTGTAAAGATTACAGCCAAGAAAACTCTATAGAGTAGTTCTACTATGTAACACATGGGGTCACTATGAGTCAGAATCAATAGGTAGCAATGGTCCCAATCCAGTCAATGTCAAGTTCTAGCCACATACACAAACTAGAGACTCACATGAATTTTTGTCAAGCCGAGGACGTTTTAATGGGACTTCACTTCCTTTTGATATTTTCCGTCTTCTCAATTCCAATGTTATTGGTTGCAAAGTTTTAGAGTTTGAATCCACAGCTACGATGTATATAAAAATCACATAAAAAAAGATACGTAATTTTTTAGTGGTCTAATCTCTGATTTTTTATATATAAGCATACATATACACAGACATCCTTGCATGATAAATAGACCCTCATAAGGGCTTTTTTACTTAAGACAGAAGAAAAAAAGTGAAATGGATGAGAATTACCTCCTTATGGGAGATGCTGACACCCTGGACTTCAACTCCTGAATCTCTTTTTCTTCAGTCTGTCCTATGACCCAGCTCCAGTCATACACTTCTCTCCCAAAACCCTCTTTTTAAAACACCACACCCAACATGACTGTTTTAAAACACAAAAGTACAAGGGCAATAACAAGAATGAAACAAAAAACTCTGAAGTCATTTTTATCACCTTCAAATCTTCTCATCCAAATGTGACCTAGCCAATACTCCAGAAATCCACTAAGCAGGTAAATTCCTAAAATGTGTGCCCTGGGGCTAGTACTTGATTACTGTTCCCAATCTCTACTTGCAAAATTAGATATTTTGGCGTTGGTCCTAGTTTTGAAGACCAAAAATGATGTCAACATTTAGTTCCTCTTACAAACAATCCAAAAAACCTCATAAGACTACACTATTTGACAGTCAGTGTTCCAGGCACTGCTGCTGATCCCTAGCAAATCTAGCTCTGACATAATGTAGCAGTGCAGATGCTAAACCCTTGGATGGTACTCACTCTTTTTTTTAACACCTAACACTTACGAAGCTCTTCCCAATCCAGAAAGATAAGAATCTGAAAAGCAGGCAAAAGAGAGAACAAAGGAAAAGACAATAGAAAGCTTGGAGGGAAGACAGAGGTAAGGGGTTTAAGGAAAGGGAGAAGAAGGAAGAGGAAGGGGAAAGGGAGAAAGAAGAAGAGAGAAAAACGGAAAGAAAGGGAAAAGAGGGAGGAGAGAGAAGACTTATCTAAGACCAGTAGCTTCAGATCTACATGTCAAACAACAGAACCAGAGACAGGGCTTGGTTCTGAGGAAGCGAATCTGATCAGAGTGCTGAACTCTTTATTGGCTCTTCCTGTGTCCAATCTTGCCAAATGTGCCAACATTATTCTATTCCAAGTGGTGGGAACTTGGAGATCACACACATTCCAAATTAAATACAAACAACCTTCTCTAAATAGCTCAGATCCTGCTTCAATCAGTTTCGTACAGTCTAGGGAGCTCAGGGCTCCACTAAGTCAATGACCTTATTCCAAACAACTTTTTAAGGGGATTTAAAATATATGTGGGATATTTGGCAAGCCTTCTTCCCTTTGATACCATATACAAATCAGGGCTGACTATACAAAACTTAAGGGTTTCCCAAATTCTTCTTACAGCAAGAATCATATGCAAACTTTAACAATTCCCATTCCCAGGCACTATCCCAGAGATTCTGATATGGGAGGACTGAGGCAGAGCTAGTGTTAACAGTAAGCTTGGAAAATACCCTTTCTCTATTAGACTTATCCTATCTAGTATGAAATCCTACCCTTAAATAAAACAAAAGCTACAAACTAAATACCTCCCTCTTTATTTTTATTTTTTTTTTAATCTGAGTTAAGTCATGTGGCCTTCATGGGGATAGTCTGCAAACTGGGGTACAAACTACAAACAACTATATATATTCCCATATATACTCTTTCCTAAACTGAGCTGGAGGAATCCTTACATGGTGCAAATGATTAATGCACTTGGCTGCTAACTAAAAGGGGAGATTTAAGTTCAACCAGAGGGGCCTTAGAAGAAAGGCCTAGCGGCCTACTTCCAGAAAATCAGCCATTGAAAACCCTATGGAGCAACAGTACTACTCTAACACATATGGGGTTGCTATGAGTCGGGTGGACTTGACAGTAACTGGTAAACTGAGCTGAGGACACATCAGAATTAGCCAGCTCACATTTTTCACATCTCCTTTTCAAATGACCTTCTCTCACTTTACATAAAAAGACCCACCTATCACTCATCTTACATCTTACAATGGTACACTGCCCAGGGGTTTAAAACCCCCAGCCCTTCTGAACTGGGGTTCCTCATCTGAATATAGAACACAGAGGTTATTTTCTCAGTTCTTCCAAGGGTGGTACATTACTAGTACCATTCTCGGTGCACAGAAGAGAAATCAATTCGTTACAGATTATAGATGCCTTAGGCATTAGGGCCTAATTCCCTTCTGGAACCTCACTGAGAGAGCCAGTGAATTTAGTCCAGTGCTGTCCAACAGAAATATAATAAGAGCCACAAATGCAAGCCACACATTTAATTTTAAAAATTTTAGTAGTCATGTTAAGAAGTTTTCTTAAAAAAGTGAAATTTTTAAAATATATTTTATTTAACCCAATACATCCAACAACATCATTTCAACATATAATCAATATAGAAATTAATGGGGTATTTTACATTTTTTTATACTAAGTATTTGAAATACAGTGTGTATTTTATACTTACAGCACATCTCAATTTGGACTAGCCACATTTCAAGTGTTCAATAGCCACATGTGGAGACCATACCGAACAGCGCAGGTCTAGGCCTAACTAAAGAAACAATTCTGTCATGCTCAGCTATTGAGGGTGAAACCCAGTTACAACCAATGAAGGAGACCAAAAACCAAACCAAACCAAACCCGTTGCCATCGAGTCGATTCCGACTCATAGCGACCCGACAGGACAGAGTAGAACTGCCCCATAGGTTTCCAAGGAGCACATGGTCAATTTGAATCGCCGACCTTTTGGTTAGCAGCCGTAGCTCTTAAACAGTATGCCACCAAAGTTTCCAATGAAGGAGAGGGCGCCTTATTTCACGCAGGGGCCAAATCAATCTAGTATCTAATTTCCTATCTTAAAATTGGAATTCAGATGTGAGAAGGTCATCACTGGGAGTGAGTACGATTTATGTGAAATAAATTAAAGTAGACATTTTTCCACAGAAATTAAGTCTGATGTAGCTGACTGTTTGACAGAGAGGACTGGCTTTGCATTCTACATCATAAGGGTACGCTAATGAGCTAAATCTGTAGTTCCACAGCTTTGATGAAAATACATTTTATGACATATTTTATATTTTAAACATATTCTCTACAGCTATTTAAACTTGCGAGGAAAGAAAAACAAATATCACTTTAAAACGTGCTAGGGGGTTCATAGCTTTTCAATATTCACGTAAGGAATATGCAAGTAAGCATGCTTGAAGACCACCGAATCCCAGGCAGAGTTCAGTCCAGAGACCCTTTAAGTCAATGAACGGACCTGGAGAATGAGTATGTGGTTTAGGAGGAAATTCAGGACATGTTTCACTCTCGGGCATTCTAGAAGAATTCCAAATTTCAACTTGGTTTCTTCCCTAAATCCATACCATATAACCTTGACTCTTACCAACTAGCCATCTCAACTTTTCATTTAGACTGTAAAAATTTGCTGTCAATAACTACTCTCTAGAGAGCTCAATTTCAAAATGCACCCATGACTCCCTTGTTCTAGTGTTCCTTTGGCCCCACCTCCTTCAGAGTGGAGGCCCACACCCTTATTTACTTCTCCTTTTTTCCTTCATGTCTGCCTCATTAAAACTATTATTTCCTACAACAAAATAAATAATTTAAAAAAAAAACACTGTTATTTCCTGATCCCCGGTTCTATTACACTTACTTAAAATAAGATCATTCAAATGGGCATAAGCAAAAGGCCTTAGCTGATTAATAAACCCAAGATTCAAGAGGTTATGTTTTATCATCTAAGCAAAAGTATCTAGTGGACAGTTATCTACCACCCTAGAAGCTCAGTCATGGACATGCTTCCCAATTTATGTTCATCTGGTGACATGCCTCACTTAAAATTCAGCTCCACAGACACGACTGGTTTTCAGATCGCAAGATGATTCAAAGTCAGTCAGAAAAATGAAGGATTGAAGTACAGAAGTTATAAAGAACCACAAAGGGCCACAGAAGAACACTCCGGCATTGCCCACTGCAGAGCCCACTTGGGAAACTCACCAGTAGGAGCTATGGAAGGGGGTCTGCCTCGTTTTCTTTTAGGCTCCCTCAAGTTTTCTTGTGGACTCTTCACAAGGTCATTTTCAGGTTTCTTATCCACTTGAGCATCTCCAGAATATTCCCTGTCATTTTCTGAAATGTTTTCCTTATCTTCCTTCTCGTTCTTGGGAAGGCTTTTCTCTGATACCTTTCCCTTTTCAGAGCCAATTAGCTTTCCTTCTTTATCAGGCTGCTTGGGTCGCTTTTCTGTTTTTAAGGCTTTGTCCTCTTTGTCTTTCTTCACATTGACCGTGGCTTTTCTCTGCTCTTTAAACTTCTCTCGTTTATCAGGAGATGATGAAAGACTTTTGTGATCTGTTTCTTTAGGCCTAGCATTACCCACAATATTCTAAAATGAGCAAAATAGCGATGAAACACACTTTGTGATTACTTGCAAATATAAAATCAGGAGGTTTTTTGCAAAGTTATGAAGACAAACAAAGAAATTAAAAGAGGACACATGCCTGGTCACATAATGCAAAGCATCATAAAAATAACCACTCTCAGTTTTCAAAACCAAGCCTATGTTTAAAGAAAACAACAGCCATGTTCAATTCCTTCAGAGACAGAGCAATCTGCCTTATTAATAAGTCTCTAGAAAATAATTAAGGAGACAGACAAATAACTACCCTAGGAACCTGTTCTAGAAAGCAATCTTTCAGACAGGGGTATTCTAAGAAAATACATGCCCCGTCCTTCTCATCTCCCCCTCCATGACTGCATAGGCTCAAGGCTTTTCCGAAACCTGGCCCAGTTTGCCAGCATATTCTGATATCTCGTGTAGAAAAGAACTCAAACTGGTCAGCGTATTCTGATTCCTTGTGTAAAAGAGAACTCAAACTGGTAACTGGAGAATGAACAAGAAAGCTGTAAGGACTGTCCAACCCAGAACCAGAGTCTCTGCTTCCTCTACTGGTTAATGGCTGTGCTTGGTCCAACAAGTCACCTACTATGTTCCTGAGCTAATCTGAGTTTTCTCCCATCAAAAGGAAATAACTGTTCCTTGGTTACTTTCCTCCTAAATTACTTTCTTTAAAATTCATCCTTAAAATCTTGCATACTATTGTGACTGACTCATAACCAAGCCAGCTCTGAAAGCTCTGGAGTTGCCAAAACTACAATTATATTTGTGTATGCATTTCTCTTCGAGACCTCAAGAACAGGGACTACCATATCATGTTCATATGGAATCTCTAGCACCTAGCACACAGTAGGCACATAGATTTTTGCCAGGAGTAGAAACGAATGCCTAAATACACAGCAAGTACATCATTAATCTGTCCATAAAGAAAAATAAACAAGGAGACTCTCTGGGGCTAGAGCCTAAAAGGATATATATATATATATATGTACTTTTTTTTTTTAAAGTCTCAAAAATCATTCTGAAAGCAGCAAGGTTTGAGAACAGGCATTCTCAGACACTGCTGGTAGAAATATAAACTGCAACCACCTTTCTGGGTGGAGAAGTGCCTTGGAAATTTGGGTCAAAAGACTTAAAAGTTTATACTTTTGAAGTAGAATAAATTCCTAGAAATGGAATTTGCTAACAGAATAATCAGATTTGTACACCCAGATGTACAAATATCCTTAACGATCAACCGTTAGGGAATTGGTTACACAAAGTAAGGTTGTGTATGTACAGGTTATGTAGATAGCCATTAAAAGCCATATTCTCATAGAATATTAAGGAACTTGGAAAAATGTTACTTTGTTAAAAGAAAAGAGCAAGTTATAGAATAGTAGTATATATACCACATGACTCCAGTTTTGAAAAGAAATATATATATACAGACACGTATATGTTTAACAAAAAACACAGGATATACTCCAAAGTGTTAAGAGCAATTTTATCTGGATGATAGGATTATAGAGTTTTTACTTTCTTTGTGCTTTTCTGTACTTTCTAAATTTTCTACAATAAACATATATTATTTTTGTAACTTCAAAAAAAGATAAATGTTACTAAAATATAGATTATCAAAATGTTTAGGGTAGTACAGTTTTATAGAAAAAATATCAATCTATTCTAATACAATATAAAGAAAGCTTAAAATTTGTCCATGACATATTTTATTAAGTTTTTCTTTGTGAGTGGCCACAACAGAACCCTAAATTCCTAGGGTTGGAGAGATATGAGAAGTCATTTAGCCAAAGTACCATACCCTCTTGAAAAAAAAGAGGTCATGGGCCTGTGCTTGCCAACCTGCCAGGTCTGAGACGAGGTGAGACACACTCAGAGGCAGCTGGGAATTGAGAACTGAGGCGCCCACAAATCCTCACTGGGTAAGGTGCCCACCTCCAAGCCAAAGGACCATGAGTGCCATCGATTAATTTACTAAGTGCACAAGTGAACAGTTGAATGTTTGTTATTTGGAGCCCTGGACTTCCATCTGGGGAGATATGGATACAACTGATAATTCTGGACAAGTTCATAATACAAGCCTTTATCGTTATTAACTCATTCCACAAACCTAACACAAAAACTGCCAGATTTAAGGCCAAATAACATTTGAGAGTTCTGTGTAGTTCTTTAGGTGCCTAAGGGGCAACTAATCAAAAGGTAAACATCTTCACAGCAAAAGCGTCATAATTTTGTCAATTTTCTGAGGAGGAAAAACAACAAAAGGCAAAAACATTCTTGAGGCTACTTTTCAAGGTGTCATGTATCATGATCTTTGAAATGGCTAAATGTATATACAGAAGAATTTACTAAAATCTGTGACAAGTAGAAGCATTTGATCGTCACAAGACACAACCAGTTACAACATCAACAAATACTGTCATATCAACACCTTCCAAAAATGTGAGTAATCAGTTATAATGTCTTAGTGACAAAATTTTTATTAACTGGCGTTAGCTATCTCCACAGCTAAAACCAGTTTAACAATCAGAATTTTTAAAAAACACCAGTATCCAATTTTTGATCTCTACTTTCCCCTCAACTATTCCATTTAAATATAAACATGAACAAGACTAAAGGGGGAGGGGAGGACATGAAGAAAGTAGACAACACTTCTAGATATCCCATATCTGTGTCGACCATATATTCAGTATCAAAACTCAGGCCATGTGCTTGGTTAAGTACACACATGGTGACTAGGACCATAGGATACAATATTTTCAACCGAGATACATCTAGGGCAAGTGGTTGTCAAATCTATGCCAAACAGAAGCTCTATAAACCAACTGGTCATGGTCCCAAGATGAAGGACAAAGCTAGATGAGGAGAAAAACATGTTCTAGGTCTCCTCAAACGTTTACACAAGTTCCCTGCAATCAGTGACAGTTCCAAGGGCAGGGCACAGAGAGAAAAAATAATGACAATGAGGCACTTTGGAGGAAAACAAATAATAGGCAATGATATCCAAGTACTTGGTGCTTTTGGAAAAAAATAATCTGTGTTAAAAGGAAAAAGCAAAGAAAGACAAATATTTACATTTTCAGAAAACTTGTTATTTTCTGGTGAAATTGTGTTAGATGGAGGAAATAAGACTTTTGCCATCATAAGCAAATGTAATATCTCTATTTGAGAAACAAAACTACAATGTTAGCATTATTCATACCACAAAGCAAAACCATGTTTCTCACCTGATCTTTGGAAAAAGCTTTGACATGAATATGTTTGACAGTCTGAACTACTCCATCATAAAATTTCACAGTGTAAGTACCTAAAATTCAAGAAGATACCATGATTTTAACTTGCAGTTTCATGAAAACAGCAACTTTTCAAAGTATAAACACAAGGGAGCACCAACCACATAATAAACTTATGGGAGTCAAACTGTTTAAGAATCATATTCAGCCTTACTTATGCCCAAGATAATAGTATGCTTGTCTTCATTTCTTAGTCAATATTACATAGTAAGTTTTATTATTTTTATAATGCCTCATGGAAATAAAAAAAAAAAACACTTGAACTAAATTTAGACCAAGAATGGTAAAAAAAAAAAAAGAATGTGAAGAAAATGCAGATTTATTTTATTCCTTCGTGAATTATTAATTTTTATAATTTAATTTTTATTTTCTGGGCTGGGGTTACTAATATCTTTTAAATTTTAAGAGAAACATTAACCATTCCGCTAAAGGCATCAAGTTTTTAGCGGAGGCTCACATTAATCTTAAAATTCATATGAATTATGTTCACATTACAATATTTAAAAATACAGATTTTGCCAAAATACTAGCAACAGTACGTTCTACGCTGTCAGTTTTATCCCATTAGAAAAAAATGTTCAACAAATGAGATGAACAATGTTTTGTGACATACAGATTTATCACAATTAAAAAAATGTTCAACAAGGATCGTTCCCTGTTAGAAAATGTAAGCTGGTGACCCAAATAATTTTATCTTCCCAAATAAGGCATTCACCTACAAAAGTTTTCATTAGTTGCACACAAAGCAATAGTTTTCACTTTTGCATATTAGAACCCATCCATATCATATATTCCTTTTTGTCCTGGGGATTAAAAAAAAAAAAGAATCAATGCTTTAATCTTGTCAAGATTACCAGTGAAGAGATGTTCAGTTTTCAGGACCAATCTCCCACCTAACACAGAAGGTAAAAAAAAAAAAATCTGGAGGGCTGGGAGTAGAAGAATGCAATCATTTTCCAAACCTTATTTCTAATTACCAAGATACAATACCCACCAACTCAAAGTGACTAGCTTCTTGCCATCCACTGAAGTTGCCTTATGACACTTCCACCTCGATATTTTTATCAGAAGTGTTTTCCTGCTTTAATAAAAGCAGAATGTGGCCCTCATCTGCTTGGCTTACCCAAATCTTACTGATCCTTAAGCATCCAGCTTAAATGACTACAAAAGTTGTATAAAAGCTTCTTGACTTCCCAGCTACTGGAGATATCTCCCTGCTCTAAATTTCTCAAAGATTTACTTGGTACCTGGCCCACAGACCCTCACACACTTACATCTACCTTAAAATAAGTACAGCTTCCAACTCAAAGGCAGGCTCCTCAAGGCCAGAGACCACATCTCACACCAGTTTTTCTCTCACACAATGCCTGGTTCACTACAGACCAGAGCTTCTCAAAGTATGGTCCCCTAAACAGCAGCATCAGCAATTCTATGCAAGTTATCAGCCCCACCTCACATATACTGAATCAGAAACTCTGGCAGTGAGACACAAAAATGTGTGTTTTAACAAGCCCTCCAGATGATTCCCATCACCCATCTGTCACTCTGTCACACTGGTGGCTTGCATGTTGCTATCATGCTGGAAGCTATGCCACTGGTATTTCAAATACCAGCAGGGTCACCCATAGTGGACAGGTTTCAGTAGAGTTTCCAGACTAAGACAGACTAGGAAGAAAGGCCTGGTGATCTACTTCCAAAATCAGCCAATGAAAACTCTACGGATTACAACAAAACATTGTCTGATATGGTGCTAAAAGATGAGCTCCTTAGGTTGGAAGGCACTCATAATGCACAGTGGCCACAACAATGAACTCAACAATCATGAAGATGACGCAGGATCGGGCAATGTTTCGTTCTGTTATGCATAAGGTTGTTACGAATCTGAGCCCACCCAATGGCAACTAACAACAACCAGATGATTCAGATGTGCACTAAAATACGAGAACCACTGCCACAGAATTACCTATTGACCTTTAGTGGTAATTATAAAACGAAGGTGATTGCCACAGACATCACCAAAACAGAAAGAAACTGGCTAGCAAACAAAACATAAGGATATATAGTTATGCTTGGTTGGTTAAAAACATCAGCAATTAGATGACAAGCTATAATAGATGAAGTCTAGGAAAGAAAACAAATGATTCTGCATAAGGAATCTCAGCAAAGACTTACTAGTAGTTACAACAAAGGTCCAGGTTCCTGTCTTTCCCTGCCTATATTGTGAAGGTGTCAGCAAGCAAAGGAGTAATGATAAGCAATGCTATAGAATTCTAAACAGACCCTTTTCAAGCAACCATGGTGCAGCTACGTCCAGCCTGGAGATGGGGGTAGGGGATAGGAACTTGAAGAATCTAGTTCTCATGGAATTTAAATATTAAATGTTCATCAGCCACCTAAGCCTATAATTTTGACCATTTTACCAACAAAAAAAGTTCAGCATCAGTTACGTCAAAACGAAAGTTGTCATTTTTACAGACATTATCCAAAAGGATATTAAATAATGCTACCTAACAGTCCAAAATTTTCAGCTATTTGAGGTAAATTTTAAAGCTTACTTCTTACGATAGGCTCAAGCAGAAGGCCTGTAGACATAGGGCTGTGCCCGAGTTCCATGGTCTAAGACAGAGCTAGGGTTAGAACCCAAGCCTGTCTGCTGACTCTGATCAATTCTTCTCTCACCACCCCACACTGCCTATTTCCTAAACCTCTCAGTCTAAGTTCAAAACACAGACCAGAGCACTACTGGCCACTCTGAAATGACACAAACTATATGGCCAAAGGTGCACAGGGACCACTGTCCTTGGATAGCAATATCCTGGTCCTGACCTTTTTGCTTCCAAAGGACTACAAAGAATCATCTTGAAACTTTCTTCCTTGATTATGCTAAATGTAGCCTAACTTGGGCTTCAATAAATGAGGAAGAACAAAGACACACCCCACAACAGTGGCCTACGCCCATTTCTGGAGAGAGGCCCCCAATCTACTTTAATGATTTCATGAAGAACTTAAAAAGAAGCTCTTCCGACGGAATCCTCCCATAGGTGGCTGATAACAGAGCTCTCCTTTATTATCAATTTCTCTCTCACTTATCTAACAAATAGTATGTGAACGACAGAAAACAAAGTGTAGTCTGTTGTATCTGCTCTAACTTGACACAGAGATTACCTACCTCAGGCTCCCTAAAGGAGCCCTTTCCCCTCTACCTTTTGCCCCCTCCTTACCCATGCCCACAGGTGAAACAAAGCTTTCTGGCCTTGTCCCTCTGAGGGTGAAGAATTTAGCATATCAGAATACCTTCTGTGTCTGTAGGTAGACAGCAATAGAAGGGGAGCAGCAAGAACAAACAAGAGATGCCTAGCCAGCTCATCTTCTCTAGGACCAAGGAAACAGGGATACACAGGTGACTCTGAATAGGACAGATTTCTCTTGCTCTTGAAATCTACCACAACTGTGACTCCAGGGCCCTTTATCCCACATGTTTGCAAGCACACCTCCCCCCACCCCCAAGTTTTTCCTTCTCAGCAATCTGACACAGTGGGCTCAGGTTCTGTGACCAACAATTTCCACAACACTCATCTATTCCAATTCCTTCTTCGATTTCTAACTGCCCAAATGAGTCCAGAGCGAGGGCAGTGAGTTAACTGCCTGCAATCATCCAGCAGGGACTGGAACCAGAACTTGTCTCCCCACTAGGGGCTCTCACGACACCACCAAACCCATTGCCGACGAGTCGTTTCCCACTTACAGGGACCCTACAGGACAGAGTAGAACTACCCCATAGGGCTTCCAAGGAGCGCCTGGTGGATTCCAACTGCCCATCTTTTGGTTAGCAGCCTGAGCTCTTAACCACTGCGCCACCAGGGCTCCAAACCAAACCCGTTGCGGTAGAGTCAATTCTGACTCATATAACCCACCAGTCTCCAGAAAGCGCAGACCACCTACACCTGCCATAGCCTTACATCAGGTACTTTCCCTCCCCACCTGGTGACACCTGGCCCTAATTCACAACTCCTCCCATCTTAGGAAAACCCTGCCTGCCCTCCTTCTTTCCAGAGACAGCCTGGTACCATGCAGAATGGCAGTTCAGGAGCTTTGAGCCCCACAGACTTACGTTCAGATCTCAACTCTACCATTCAGAGCTCTGTAACCTCAAGCACATTAGTTTCCCCTGTGAGCTTAGCTCCTCATCTATAAAAATGAGGACGGAGTTGTTAGCAATAACCTTTGCCATGTTTGTGTGAATAGTCAATGAAATAAGATATGGAAATTGCCTAGCACAGGGCCTGTCACAGAGCAAGAAATCAGTAAGTGATTCTAATTATTACTATCCACCAAGTCACTTTAAAAGGGAAGCACCAACCCCTCCCCAGCTTCAGACACAGAAGATAAGAATCAAGCTGGCACCTGCATGTGTGGGCCTAAATCTTCTTTTCATCCCTGTGCAGAGCTGTTCAAAGTTGTTCACATAGTGCTAACCTCCCCACACTTCAAATGTAGGATCAGTTACAGCATGAAGAAAACAAAAACCAGAAACTGCTTCAACTAGAGACTCTAGAAATAAAACCACTCCCATAGAATCCCCTGTTATAAATGCAGACTTCAGGCACCAGCCCAAAGTGTCTGACTAAAGAATGTGCATATTTTTAAGGAGGAGGGACCTGGCCCACCTGGCTCACCTGCTCTCTCAAGATTAAGAACCACAGATCAACAGGAAAGAACTGTCTCCTACTTTGTTGTAAATACTAAACTACTTTTACTTTCCCCAGAAAGAATGCCTTGCAGAGCAGAGTGGGGACACAAAGCCCTGACAAACAAGTGACCCTGACAGACAAGTGACTCTGCCATCTCCGTGTTAAAAAGAGGAGCTAAGCAGCCCCAGCAAAGGGCTGAGGTGAACTCACCAGAGACAGCTTCTAAACAAATATTCCCTGAAAGCAGAACCTCTGTCTTTTATTCCACACTGACTGAGGGCTAACGAGGCTACCAGGTATGGCTGCCTTCACACTAAATGATGCTTAAATTTCCATTGCCAAAGAGCCATTCCAGGTGAAAAGACCTAAATAATCTGACGCTGCCCTCCCTATTTTCCAAGTAAGCATTAATAACTAACTCCCATAAGAGACTATAAAGTCTGTTGCTGTTTAGTTGTGGATCAGTCATGCCAGACTCCCCAGTGTTCCCCCACTCAACAAGCCTGCTCAGTCCAACGCTCAGCCTTAGTAAAACCACCAAGGAGATTAAGAGTGGCCAAGAAATCTGACCAAGCCTTTCAAAGATAAATTACCGAGTGTGTCTTCACTATATTCCTGGCCTCCTCCTAGCAGGACCAACAAGACAGAAGTGACTTTTACAGGGAATAAAGGGGACACCTTGCCACCAGAGCTTCTCCTCACCATGCCATTAAACTGTGGTGGCCACTGTTACAGATGAAACTGAGTCAGGGCAGAAAATGCCAGAGGAAGGGTGAAAAGAGAGTCCAGCACTGTAGCTCCCAATCCATCAAGTACTACAATAAAACATGATGAAGTAGAAACTGCCCACCGGCTCCCATGGATAAAATCTAACCTTGAAGACACTACCTAAGAGTATTTTCATCTTAAAATCAGGCACAGGTCTGAGCTCCCACTGAGCTTTCCTGCACAATCCACAATGTAGCAATAATACTACCCAACCTGTTCTGCTAATTTTCCATTTCAGGATTTCTCCTCCCTCTTCCAATTAGCCTCAAAAACAAGTAAGAGCGGCATCATCATACAGAACTTCAGATCCAAGAACTTCAGGAAAACAGGTTTTGGCAGAAATCTCCACTTATTTTCAACATCCTTCAATCAATTAAAATCGTTTCACTGAACATAATTCTGAGCTCACAGAACTAATGTATTAGGGAAGCAAATGATCATTTTAGGAACAGCCATTACAAGACTCTTCCCCCTATAATTTTAGCTCATGGGGGAAATATAACTGAAAAGATATTTTTAAACACTTTGCAAGTAAAGCTTTGGTTGCCCCATTTTAAAACAGGGCTTCAAATCAGTTCTTCCCAGTTCAGTCATGGCCAAGGAAGCAAAACTGGAACAGATCCGAATTTTTAAAATTTGGGTGAACCATAACGACAGCTAGAACTGGAAAAATTACAAGTCGAAGCTCTGTTAGACATCTAATCTCTAACAACAATAAAATGTTAAAAAAAAGAAAAAGAAACCTAATCTCCCTCTTAGAAAACAAGGGCAGGGTACACACTGCATAGCAACCAAATCTCTTGCGCCTCTCAGATTTTGAACAGTCAGAAACAGTGGTGCCCTGCTCAAAGATGGCAGCTGACTGCGCCACTTTGAATATATATGTCACTTTCCACAGTCTTGCCAATAGTCCAGTCTCATGCATCAGGCTCCTAAAAGGGCTCACTACACGTCTTCCTAGTCTCCCATTACAGGGCTTCGACCCGTAATTATTCTTGTTCTGGTTATAGTTCTGGATCACCCAAGTTGTAAAAATTCTGGTCTGTTCCTGTTTTGCTTTGTTGGCCATGACTGAGTCAGTTCAAACCAGTTCAAAGCCCTGGTTTAAAAACACATTTAAAAACCCTGATTGTTGTTGTTAGGTGCCATTGAGTCAATTCTGACTCACAGCGACCCTATGTACAACAGAAAGAAGCATTGCCCGTTCCTGCACCATCTTCACAATCCTTCCTACGTTTGAGCCCACTGTTGCAGCCACTATGTCAATCCATCTCATTGAGGGTCGTCTTCTTTTTTTGCTGACCCTCTACTTTACGAAGTATGATGTCCTTCTTCAGGGACTGGTCCCTGCTGGTAACATGTTCAAAGTACATGAGACAAAGTCTCACCATCCTCACTAATTAACTATGGCCAATAATGTGGCCAATTACTTATAGTCCTTAAATGATGATTTCAAAAAGCTTCAGACTCTGCCCTACACACAAACCCCAGTAACTGCAAACAGGAGCTCCTCTGACTCTTTATGATTCATCTACACCATCTTGCTCCTGCTCCTGCCCCCTCCTGGTGGCTGATGTAGCAGCTCTATTTCAGCACCTACTACATTCTGTCTTGAACTACGTCTTTTTTTTTTTTTCTTTTTAAATCCATGATGACAAGCTTGGGCTCTGAAGGACATTATACACAAACAAAAGTTACTAAACTTTCATTGCCTCCACCAGACTATGAGTCAGCTCCTAGTGTTCTGAAAACTCTTCTTCAATCGGCCCCTCCTTTGCTATCCCCTCACCTAATCCCCTTCCTCCCATTTCTGTCCCCCATGGGACTCTGGGGCATCACTGGAACAACAGAAATGTTCCTTCCTTTCTGCTACCTCTTTAATCTATAGAGTCACCCATGTTACTACCTGGAATTTTCGTCTAATCTAAAGGCTGTTTCCTCCAGAGCAGTACACCTCAAATGTATATTATTAAGGGGGCAACTATGATTCCATCAGCATAAATCAACCTAATAGACTTTTCAGGCACACATCAATGTATGTGAAAAACACCTATACTTTATATCACATGATTTTAAAAGCCGATGAGGACAGAAAGAATGTTTAATCTTGAAAATTACAATCTGAAAAAGTAAACTATGTTTTTTACTAAAAGGATATGAATCAGTTTAGTAACATGTATGCTTTCCTTTCAAATAAGTTTGTTAGATTAATGTGATACATATGAAAATAACATAGGATTTTGTTTTGAACACAAGCTTACAAAAGTAATTTAGGGAAACAAGGGTCTATCCAAAAAGACTCAATCAGCCATAAGCTGGAGGAACATTAACTGTGTGGACAATTTAGAATACACAACCCTGCTTTGGAGACTGAAGCAAGAGAACTGTGTTTCAAGGTTAACCGACGCCTGGTATATCTAATTGGTCTAAAGGCTGGCAGGGTGAGGAGGTGGGATACATACAATAGAGAAACTGAAATTTCTGCTACATGTAAATGTATGTTCAGTTTTGACCCTTTCAACCCAACCCATTCTCAGACTTAATTTCCACCTCAAGGCCAAAACTTCTCGGAGAGCAAATGGTCCAGCACTGAGCACAATGCTGAAAAAATACCTGAATGACTTTACTGAATGAAAAGTCAATCTGGCCTCATGGTCACCTCAAATAGTGTCACCTAAGCTTTTATTGCCTCCACCTGACACCCTTCACCCTTCTATGAGTCAGCTCCCAGGGCTCCCAAAACTTTTCTTCTTCAATTTGTCCCTCCTTTGCTTTCCCCTCACCTAGAGACAGATTTACCTTAAAGGCCCTAAGAGGCCTGATTTACCTGAAACACTCACTTCAGAGGTCAGGGACATACTGCAAACATCCTGGTAGAAAATGCTAAAAAAAAGGTATCACTTTAGGCCCAAGAATCCATTCTCTGAGTGCCAGGATTCTGACCATATAACCTTATGGCCCTCCACTGGTCTTAATACTAGCAAAATGGGCCTCTTTGGGTCAACTTCCCTGTCCTGTATCCTCGAGTGTTCTAAAATGTGGCAAAGGCATCCCCACTCAGTGCTGTAAACCACAGTGGTCCAACTTCCACTAGCAACTGTGATGTTACAAACCATCCTCAATCACCTTGCATCCACAAAGCACATTTGTAAGAAATGTTTGCTGCTGTTCATTTCTAGGCTGTTCACAAATTAGTAAAAGGAATATTAGGGACTTACTTCATCGGTTATATTGGCAACTTCTAGACAGCAAGAAACTGCATACTTCTCAGCAGAGTGGCAGATAAACTGTTTTGTGACTGTTTTAGACAACGACTGAAAGTTAAGGGGCAAAGAGCTAAACCTCCTTTTTACCTAGCTTTCTCTCCATTTATAATCTCCTCTAACTCCTGACATACTGATTAACTTGAATAGAGAAAATTCCCAGGCAATAAATACATACTGAAAATATACTATCAAACTCTAATATTACCAACTCCCACTTAAGTCATGAGTAAAAACAACTGTAATTCAAATGCCTTACCATCCTTGTTAACAGCAGTGACTTTTGCTGGGTAAAAACGACAATCAGACCAGCAAGCAAGGACCTGCTCATTTATTTGAAATTCCTAAAAAACATAAAAAAAAGAAAGAAAGAAAGAAAAAAAGATCCTGTTACCAATCCACTTTTTATAGGACACACACTGATCAAAATTCATAAAAGAGGCTGGGCTTGACATGAGAGGGGGAAGGAGAGGTGGCTACTGGGATGGAGAAAGACGTTTCTGCTGTTCATCATCGGAAGAGTTTGGACACAAGACTCCACCCAGCCAGGGAGGTCTGGGCAGGTGCAACATAGCACTAATGATAATCCTATCCTGTCAAGAGCCCAGGATGACCAGGAAACACACCCAATATACAAGCTAAAAGGAATAAGACTACCTCATCTTGAGGGAAGCAGCATTAATGCCACTTAATACCACTCACCTCTAAAGAGCTTTTAACCAACAGAAGCACCCATTCACCTTTAATATTTCATACTGGTTTTCCAGCACCCTGTAGAATATCCAGCACACAGTTGCCACTGATAAATTTTGTAGACTGAATATTGAATAATCAAGGTTGAGAAGAGACAAACATTTTAAACCTCATCCCAAATTGGAGGAGGCATCGAGGGAGTCTACCAGGGGTCAGGGTTAAAATGGAAAACAGAATTCAGGGCTAAGTCACATCTGAAGGCAGTAGGACTACTACAGATGTCTCAACGCCTCCTTAAAAAACTCAAAACTAATACTTCATTACTTCATTCAGAAGTCAGTAAAAGCTCCAGGCATAGTAATAAAATCTAGAAAATGGGAGTACAGTCCACTCAATTCCAAGCTCTTTGGGGGCCTATAAAAGATCTTGAATATGATCTCTTATATCTTTTATATGCCCCAAGTGGAATGACTGCTTCATAAATGATCAGACAGCAATGCTGGCAAGATTGTGATACTGTTGATCTAGAATTCAATCATTCATTCACTCACTCATTTATTCAACAAATATTTACTGAAGACCTACTATGTGCAAGGCACTGTTCTAGAGGCTGGGGATACAATGGTGTAAAAAGAGAGACAAGGTCTCCATCCACCATCAACTTGGTAGTCTCTCAAGTTAATTTATGAGCTATCATATCAATAATATCATTTGAATAAATGAAAACTAGGATTCCCTCAAGAGACCCAGGTGCAACTACAGGCCTAAATGAGGATTGGTCCCCAGCTACTACTGAATTTCACACTAAAGATCAAGGGCTGAAACACAAACTGCCCAGTGGCTGACCCGGCTCATTATAGAAGTTCCCAGAGTTGTTACTCACAGAAGATCCTTCCTCTTCATGTAAGCCCTCCTTCCTCAGCTGGATTTTCTCTAAAGGGCGTAAATAAGGACTGTCCCAGCAGAACCATTCATCATAACGATGGTTCCAGCGCTTGAAATGGATGAGTACTTTTCCTTCCTCGTAGTCAATGTCTTCTATGTGAGCGGGATACCTGAGTCAGAAAAAAAAAATTGAAATGCCTTTAATACCCATCAAAAATACCCAAAATGGTACACTTCCAAACCTCTTTCCAAACGAGCAGGTTACCAAAGTACTAAACAAAGGCCTGCCATTTAAGGGCTCCACATCATAGTGTCAAATCACAGATTATAGAGGTTAACAGTGCTGGGGTTCAAATCCCAACCTGGCTACTCCTTAGTCTATGAACTATCAAATTAATCTTCAGAGCCTGAGTTTTCATGTAAAGTGGAGGAAGAATACTACTCAGTACACTGGGTTGCAGTGAGGGTCAAGTGAGATAACATATACAAAAGACCCAAGCACACAAGAGGCAGGAAGCAACATTTAACAACTAGATAAATTTCACACATGCCAATAAATTAGAATGACCATGTAACTCAGATTGTACTGTTGTTGTTGCACGTCGATGAGTTCATTCTGACTCATAGCGACCCTCTAGGACGGAGTAGAACTGCCTCATAGGGTTTCCTAGGCTGCAATCTTCATGGGAGCAGATTACCACGTCTTTTTGGTTAATAGTTGAATGCGTAACCATTGTGCCACCAGGGCTCCTTTCAGATTGTATCAGACAGTCTCAATTTTAAACATTTTGTAATCCATATAGTAGAATATTACACAGTTGTTAAAAGAACAAAATGGTTCTACAAGTCATGATATGGAAAGCTCTCCCAAGACAATGCTAAATGAAAAGAGCAAGGTTCAGAATACTGTACGGTAAGCTATTGTTCATTTAAAAAAAAAAAAAAGGTGAAAAAAGAATATGTTTTCACATATGCTTATATATGCATAAAATATCTGGAAGGATATGCAAGAAACTAACCATAGTGGTTACTTGTGGAAAAGTGTGGTCAGTTCAGAAACTGGGCTCTTTCAATCTCCATTCTACCCTCCTTTTAGAATGAATTCGGAAAACTAACAATTACATTTCCCCAATTCCCTTTCAATTGGCAACTAAGGTCAAGGAGACCCACGGTTGGGAGGCAACTGTGGTGACCAGACCCTGTGCTCCAACCGAGAACCTCTCAAACTTTCATGTGCATGCAAATTACCAGGGATCTTGATAAAATGCAGATTAAGTAGGTCAGGCTAGGGCCTAAGAGTTTTCAGCAAGGTCCCAGGTGATGCTGATGCCCTGGTCTAAAATAGGAAAGGTCTAATGTCTAGTCAAGGAGCCCTGGTGGCACAGTGGTTAAAGTGCTCAGCTGATAACCAAAAAGTTTGGTGGTTCAAACCTACCAGCTGCTCCACAGGAGAAAGATGTGGCAGTCTGTTTCTGTAAAGATTTACATCCCTCAAAACCCTATGGGGCAGTTCTACTCTGTCATATAGGGTCGCTATGGGTCGGAATCGACTTGATGGCAGTGAGTCTGGGTTTGGTAATGTCTAGTCATCAGCTTCCTGGGTGTCAAGCAGCAGTGGGGGGGTAGTAGTGGCAGCAATGACTTCCTGACCTCCAGATCACAGCTCCAGTGGTAGGCTCTTCAAATACAGTCTAAGGGCAGTCTCCCAAATCCTACTCCCTCAACTCTTCAAACAATTTTCTAAGTACCCAATTCTCTGTGTTAAATCATTGTGGTTAAAATACCGAGTGGTTTCTGTTTCCAGTATTGAAATCTGACTGATATAACAGGGGAACTGGGTATTAGGGGAGTGAAAGTAGGAGGGCAACTTTGCAGTCTATCTTTTAAGATTTTTTTTTTATTTTTCGACCATGTAAATATATTACTCATTCCAAAAATAAAAAGGTTTAAAAAAAAAACATTGTCTGCAATTGTTCTCTTAAATACAACTATATTAATCAGACTGCTACGCTGAATTGGGAAAATTTGGATTCTATCCATATTTTCTCCCTTCAACTTGGATTTGTACCATTTCCTTCCCTTCTTGTATCCAACACCTAGTACAGTGATGTCCTAATAAATACGTGCTACCTAAATGAACAGGTCAGCTTTCTTGTTTCTGTATATTGTGTCCTCCTCAATCCTACACTATTATCCTCTAAGGTAGTTAGCTTGTCATTGACCTATCACAGTACCTTGCACATACCAGGCACTCAGCAAATGTTTAGCAACTGAATTGCATTCTCCCTACTCTTCCCAAAGGTCACGTGCCCTGTCAATTCTTCAGTTCCAAGGCTCTCAGACTCCAACTACCCTTTCCAATTTCAGTCACTCTCAAGTTCAGGCCTCATCACTTCAGGTGGATATTCCTCACACAGGACTGACAGGGTATGCTTTTCAAAATTTCTCATAGTGCTATGCACACAATAATTGCTCAAAAATTATTAACAGAAGGAATAAACAATCCTGAAAGCAGTCTCCCTGCTCCAGTCGAACCAACATACAGCTGCTATAAATACAAAATATCGTGACAGCAGAATAACTAGTTATTTGATCTGATGAACTGAGTAGTACAATTATAGCAGACAAGAAAGAATTCCCTAAATTCATTCATCTCTGTAAAATGGGGAGGACACAGATATCCCAATTACATACCTGTTGCCCGCTCATTCATTCAGCCCACCAGAGACTAGTGAATCTCCTTCAAGTATTACAATCTGTCCTTTCTTCAATAATTTGCTATCTCTTGCAATAGTTTTCAAACAGCTCTTTGGACCGAGTCAGGGAATTTTTCACGTGCCAGATTAATTTATAGAACTATTCTTTACACTGAAATCACATTTTTTTCTTTTTGGTGTTTAAATATACTTTTAAAAAAATTAAAACGATGGTAATTGTTTGTTTTTAATACCCTTACTAATATTATGCAGCAATTAAAAAGAATAATGCAGTTCTCTATATATTAATATAAAGAGATCTCCAAGGTAAGATGGGGGGGGAATCCTAAGATACAGAACGATATTTGAATGTACTACCACTTATGTGAGGGAGGGGAGAAAACCAATACATTCGTACCTGTTTGTAAATTCGTGGGCTATCTCTGGAAGGATGATCAAGCAACCCGGTTTGCCTCTTGGGAGGGGAACTGCATAGTTAGGGAACTGGAGAGGAAGTATGAGACTTATTTAATTCAGTGTATATCCTTTGTATGTTTTGAATGTTGCACCATGAGCACGTATTAACTATAAAGAGTATATAATTAGATACTTATTTTAAATACCCTCATTTGGCAAAATAAAACGCTGGCAACCTCAGGACAAACCTCAAGTTCTTTTGAATGTGTATTGGTCAGCTCCCTCTAAAAGTCTGGGAAGTCTGAATCCACGCAGTTAACTCCAAATGACTCAGCCAGCCATTCCACTAAACACACTCAGGGTCTGCAGAACCTCTGCACCTCCAGTTAGTCTAAAGCTTCTCCTTGCTCAAAAAACTGGTCACAGGAATCCCACCGCCTGTAGACCTAAATAAACCTCTCCAGGATGCTCAACAGTAACCAAGGGGTCAGCATGATTTCCTAAGGAAGAAGTGATCCCCCTCATTTCCTTAAAAGTGTGACAAGGATGCAAATCATTCATGGGGAAAACCAGTACCACCAGACACTTCTGAATAGATTCCAGCTCATGATGACCCCAAATGTTACAGAGTAGAACTGTGCTCCATAGGATTTTTAAGGCTGTGACGCTTTAGAAGCAGATCACCAGGCTTTTCTTCGGAGGCACTTCTGGCTGGGTTCGAACTACCAACCATTCAGTTAGAAGTCAAGCACTTAACCCAGAGACTCCTCTTACAGGGAAGGAGAGACCTAGCTGCACTGCAGAGAAGAGAGGCAGCCAAGGCCATCTTAGAAATGATCTCGGTAAGACTTGGTAGATCACAACTGCTGGCTGCCTTGGAGACAGCTCAGCTCCATCAGTCAACAAGACTTTATTAAGTAGCTTTGATCTAGTCAGTCAATTCCAGGTCTTAGAAGAGATTATAAAGACATATGTGCTCTGATCCCTGCCCTTGAGGAGAACTAGACACATGAACTGATTAAGCTTTAAAACTATTAGGTTGAACAAAAAAAAAAAAAAAACTGCTGATAATCAACTGATTTTTACTTATAAAAATGGTTATTTTATTGATTCAACCTAAATATGTGGACAACTATAAGGGGAGCTGGAAAAGATGAAGCAAGATTAACGAAAGGAAACATGAACAGAGTCCAGATAGGCAGAAGAGAGAATTTACAGCTTCAACAGCAATGGCTGTAACTCTGGTTTCCAAACTAACATTGCAACTGGGAGTCACATTTCTAACCAATGGGAATATTAGCCAGCAAGGAACAGATATAAAACACCAAACTGATAACAATAATTAGCTCTAGAGAGGGAAGAGGCATTGGGAATGATCAAGAGATTTGCTTATAGATTGAATTTTTACAAGGACTCAGTCACATATCACTTGTGTAAGTAAAACTAAATTAAATTTTTAAATTAAATTTTTTTTTCTTTTT